GTGTAGTTGGCGCGTCGACACCGGGTTGTAATCGTAGCATCGCGGTATTCTCAGTTGTTCTATGGCGTTAAATGAAGTAATCCAGTCTTCCCATTTTTCTTTTAATTCTGTGGGCAGAGGGTCGTCCCAGTCCGCCTTGTAACGCCATGTGTCTTGGAATATTCTCTTCGCTGGGGTGGTCACTGGTGATATTAATCCCAGCGGGTCAAATAATGCCATTATGATGCTCAACGCTTCACGTTTAGTTGGCAAGCGTTGTTTTTCTTTTACGTCGGCAGGCATCTTCATATTGTGAGTATTAAATCCAATATGATCGCTTTGTACATGCCAGAACAGGCCGAGCGTCTTCTCAGTTTCTTTTCCGCCCAGGCTCACGGTTGCGTCGTGTTGTTTATGTTCTGTCGTTATTTCTTCTATTGTTTTCTCTTCGTTCGATGTCCACCCGCTGAGTACGAATCCCGCTTGTTTGTGGACGTGATCGACTGCTTTTACCGTTTGCTGAGCTTCCGTGACAGAGTGGAAGCTCTGCAAGTAGTCGTCCATATAGTGATTTCTTTTTATGGCGACCGCAGCTTCTGGGTATGCTTCTGCATGTTCTTCAGCATTTTTATTTTTGATGTATAATGCTGTGCACGGTGATGATGTCGCTCCAAAGATGATTGATGTCATCCTATATTCTTCCGGTTGGTCTTCCCGCCGCTTGCCTCTCCATAAGAAACGTAAAACGTCTCTATCTTCTTTGCGCACTTTAATCTGCATGAACATTTCTTTTATGTCGGCGCTCAATGCATACGGATACTGTCGGAACCTCATGATTACTCCGGGCAATGATTGTAACAAGTCGGGCCCCGAGTGAAGCATATCGTTGAGACATATTTCGGCTGTCTTCGCTGCGGCGTCGTGCACCAATCTCGGCGGCTTGTCTGGTTTCGCAGGGTTGATGACTGGGAAGTGTGGCAGATACCATGTCCTTCCTTGCGGCGGTAGCATGGGCGCGCGCTCTGCGTAACCCGAGTTGAAAAGGTTCTGTATGCGTTCTTCGTACTGTAGCTTGAGATTGCTGTCTCGGTCGAGCCTCTTCTCTAAGGTGTGCAGGCGCCTTTCCGCGTCCTTGTAATTATTTGGTATTTGGAAATCCTTTTGTTTCCACAACAACCCTGTTTCGAATCTGCCGTCCGCCGACCTCTGGCTGGTTTCCTTCAACATTTGCATAGCTCGCTGCTCGGGATCTTCTTTCGGTCTTCTTGGCTCGATGCACAGCGATTCCAATTTGAAATAATTTTTTATTTCCTCTTCTATCGGCTGTGTATCTTCCCTCTGATGTAGTCTGCCGCAGAAGGTGACCGTCGACGTCAATGAGCTATGACAGCCATGCAGAACCCAGCCCAGGTTGGTGTGTGATGCGACTGGTTGGTCTCGACGACCGACGCGCAGTTTTCTAGACACTATGAGGTGCCAGTTATCTTGTCCGATCAGTATTTTCGGTGAGACGCGTTCGTATGTGATATCTTCTTTGATATCCAACAGATGTTGGCAATTCTCCAAGTCATTTTCATTCACGGATTCTGGCGCGAAGTCCAACCGCTCTTCCGTACGCGCTGCTTCTATGTTGTGTTCCTTTTGCGCGTACTTTCCTCTTATTTTAAGGCTGACGATCTTGCTCTTCTCATGTTTCACCTCCGAGCCGACCCCTTGTATCCACATTGCGTGGGCTGGGCCGTCGGCGCCGATGACGTCAGCGATTGAGGCATCGACTAAGGTGACCGTGCTTCCTTCATCCAATAATGCGTATGTTTCGACGCAGCTTAGCGGCCCCCTTATTGTAACGGGCGCAATCTTTAGATAAGCGCGGCGGTGCTTGTACGGTTGAGTCGCTGTGATGACCTCCCTTGCCGATGTTGCGGTTTCCATAGCGGGTTCCTTTTCAATCTCTGCTGTTCTATCGTGATGCAGCAATTTATGGTGTTTCATCATGCATCCGCCTTTTCCGCACGGTGGAGCTTTACACAGCAACCGGCGATGTTTGCCTCGCAGACAGCGGTAGCAGATATTATTCTTCTTTGCTACTTCCTCTTATCTGTCATTAGTGGACAGAGCGGCGTATGACTTGCAATCGGGCAGTTTGTGTTCTTGTTTGCATTGAGGGCAGCGTTCTTCATATTGTTTCTTGCTTGTGGCGAAGGCACGTTCTATTTTTCTTGGTCTTCGCTTTCTCGTCTCGCTGTCCTCTGCTATGAACTCCGGCAAGGCATACGCGCTGCATTTGTCCGCTTCATCGTTTAAGAACATTGATATCTTCTTAAGCTCTGGGATATCTTCTTTCTTTCTGGCTGCATAGTCGTACCATTTGCTTCTCAATATAGGCGTGAGTTTGTCTGTGATAACTCGCGTCATTTCCGGACTATGCAGATAGTGTGCTTTCTTGAGTGCTTCCACGGTGCCCACTACGTTTGCTATGCGATTTGCGAATATGCTTAGCTCCCTGGGATTGTCCGTAACTTTATTTAGCAGCTTCAGCTTCTCTATTTCCAAGTGGATTAACGCTTCTGGTCGTCCGAATCTCCTTTCCAAAGCTTCCATTATCAGGCTGGGATTTGGTTGGCTTATAAGTAGGCAACCGGCGGCTTCTTTTGCTGTCCCTTTTAAGCTTCGGCGTATTCGCGCTATGTTTTCGTTCATCATAAAGTACTTTGAAGATTCTTCGTACGTTGTTTTGAAGCTGAGCCATTCTTTGCTGCTACCATTGAATGTAGGTAGCTCTTGCACATATTTCGGCGGCTGCCTTGTGCTTCGTACTGCTTGTGATAGAGCAGCGGCTAAGGAAGCGACGTCGATTTGTTGCTGCGCCTGCCCATTGTCTTCTTTCTGCGGCGCGGGTTGTGATGCAAACTGTGGAGCGGGTTGCGATGCGAAGTGCGGCGAGGGTTGCGACGCGGGCTGCGGCGCGGGTTGCGATGTAGACTGCGGAGCGGGTTGCGATGCGAAGTACGACGTGGGTTGCGGCGCGGGCTGCGGCGCTGGTTGCGATGTAGGTTTTTCTTGCAACCATGTACTAATGCGTACTGATGCCAAATCGTCTTCTATTTCTTCATCTTCGTCATCGGTTGATCCGACTTCTGCTTATAATCGCTGCACGTGTATTACTTGCAATTCCGTTCTTGCTTGCAACTGAGCCTGCTCGAGCTTGAGTTCGGCTAATCGCTCTTTCGCCTCTAACTCCGCGAGGAGTCTCTTGCGTGAGGCTACGGAGCGGCGCGACCTAGTCTCGTCGGGCCTTAGTGTGCGCTGCGATCTTCGATCCCTCTCTTGCTGGGTTTCTTCCGTTGCGGCCGTGTTATCGGTCGCAGAGGTAGCGGTTGTATCGCTGACCGTTGTGGTTTCGCTCGTGGTGTTGGATGTACCAGTAGCGGTTGAATCGCCCCCAGAGGCCTCTTCTGTGGCCCCCTGGGTTGTTTGTTCATCCTTGCGACGCTTCGATGATTCTCCGTTGTTACTACGTGTAATCACCATTTTTCTTCACAATAATATTTTTTCGTTCTTGCGGTTTGCTTCTTTCTTCCGGCAATACCAAGACCGATATTGTCTTTTTCTTCCAGTAATCGGGCTTCTCGAAGGACCATTAATGTTACGGATCGCCGTAACGCCGTTCGAAAAATGAGTGAAACACGTTGGTCTTGCTTACTACTGGAGGCAAGGGGCGGTGAGGAGGAACTTTTTCTTTTCTTGCTGTTGTTTTCTTTACTGTAGCTGAAGAGCGACTGCCGACCGTTCCGACCGGCCCGTCTTATATACTATTCGGCCATTGCTGGCCAGCGGACCCTTGCCTCACCCCCGCGCCATTCTTTATTAGGTAAATTTCTTATAAACTAATGTACAGACTTAAATATATTACATTCTTACAATTACTTATTTAACTAATACTTATATAACACATACACATTTCTACATAGTAAAGATTAAAACGTTGTTATTCCAGCAATTTTGAGCTGAGGACCCTGCCCCCCGCCTCAGTACTATAAATATAAAACGTCGTGGCGCGGCGCGCGTAGCCTCATTCGCTCCGCGGCCGCGTCACGGTAACATGCCCTGTTTATTATTTATCGTGCCTAAGGGCTTAAATAAAAAAATACATAAGGAATTAAATTGCACTATACAAGGGAATATACTTTACACACAATACTTATTCTACAATTTGGCATTAATTAATTTCTATATCCTAAATCTATGTTAACTCTCGCCAGTTGTTCGGTGCCTTTATTGCGAGAGTTATTACATAGTTACAATATTATTTGTTTAACAATAAAAGCTATATTTCTTAATATTCTTGCTACGGCTTTTCCCGCGTTGCTGTGGGCAACCACCGCTAGTTGTGGAACCGTGAGCGCGCCCCGACGATCATAACATTCTCATGGCTCCGCCCACCGCCCCCAGGTTGTTCAACTAGCGATGGTTACCACAAGCAATCCGTAAGTCATTTCGTTCGAGGTATTGCTATGTTTGCGTCGTGCACAATAATCGACACTGATACTTTAACACAATACAATGAAACCTTCATTTTATACGTGGTAGATCTACGTTGCAGCTATATTATGATTGTTGCACGAATTGGTCGGATCGACCGGGGTAGGACCACGCTCTCACAGAATACCATCGTAAAATCACATAGAAGTATTAAAGATGTTATAAATTATTCAAACTAGGTAAGTTTTTATTTTACGAGTACTACGCGTTGCTTAATAAAGCACATAATTTTATTTTATTACGAGAATATTAGTTAATTAATTTCAAACGACGTAAGACATCGTTTTTTATTACGAGGATTTTAGCTTTAATATAATGTAATGGATTTACAAAGTAACGCATGTTTCTATGAATACATAGAAGTGTTATTCATGTATAAATACATGTTAGGTCCGGCGCACTCTTCGCCGGCGCGACGTAGCGTATCTCGCAGAGGCAGGTGCCGGTCGTGCAATCGTAGTGTTGGGGCGTATACTCACAGGCGTGGTAAGGCATGTTGGGACCGGCGCACTCGTCGCCGGCGTAGCGTATCTCGCAAAGGCAGGTGCCATTCATGCAGTCGCCGCGGCCGCTGCAGCCTAGCGCGCAGCCCGCGCCACGTGCCGCCGCCGTCATCACGTCCGCGTAGTACGCTAGGAGCGAGCGCATCTTACGCGCGACGCCGTGCGCCGCTCAACTGCACTGAAATCAAAGGAAATTAGGCGTTAAGACGACGTTACAGTACCTTTTTTACTTTTCAAGTGAAAACTTCTTTAGAATCGGCTTGATTTGAAATAGAGACAGACATATACAAGTACATCTATAGGATTTAGCCTGCAAGAGAATAAGATAGAAAACAGTATACAGTGTTTCCTGTTAACTCGGTCTCATTTTCTGGAGTTTTCACTTCTACCGCGTGTAAACTGCAAACTTGTTTTTTTGTACAGTCTATGGACATAGATTTGCATTTAAATAAAACTACTTTCTAAGGATTTTATCGCGTGTATTAAATTATTTTATATTCCCGACGTCACGGTAGGGATTAAGGTGTTCGACATACCAATGTCATAGTTAATAAATCTCTACACAGATTTTCACCATAGTATCACTTCAGTACAGTCATTAAAGTGCGGTAGGCTACGTTGAGGCCTACAAAGAGGCGGCAAGTTTTTTTTTTACCAGACGAACTGCTTAATGTTTTGTAACGTGGTAGAGCCATGCTGCAGCTATGCATATTACTGGTATAGTTGTAACACGAATGGGTCGACTCGATCGGGGAAGGACCACGCTCTCACAGAATACCATCGTAAAATAGCAGCTTAACGCTGCTGTGTTTCGTATGGTGAGTGTAGATAACCGGAGACCCTTTTTACTTGAAACGAGGCATTCCATCTTAGCCCTCACGTGTGACAACGCATCTGCATTATTATTCTTAATTGAGGATAGATGTAGATGTCTATGGGCCACAGCAACCACTTAACATCAGGTGGACCGTGTGCTCTTTTGTCACCCTTATACTATAAAAAACCACGGGACGAAATTGGGTGACGGATTTTCTTACGCAGCAACCGCACAGGTAATAATAATGTAAAAGTAACGAAACAATAATCTGAATTCAAAAACAAATCTTCAAAGACTTGTGTGATAAGCATAAAGATAACACAAACGTCTGCTTCGTTATCAGCACACCTGTTGACTTAATCACTTATAATATATACTTAATACAAAAACAACATAGCGGTGTGACGACAGTATGTTTGTTAATTTTTTACAAAAACAATAGAATAGAGTAGAATAATTTTTTATTCAATATAGATCACATGTGTAATTCTTATTGAAAGTCATTTTTTACTTTACCACTGGTTCGAAAAAAAACCTCCGTCCTGGGAAGAACCAGCAAGAAACCCAGCGGGACTTTTTTTAAACCAAATTTTACAATAATGGTTGTACAAACTATATAAGTAGAAAAATTATATTAGAAACAGCTTGGAAGCGATCACCTCATTCCCAGGGGTTATTATCAACCATGTATTCATTTATACTATAATAACCCTTTTTATACAGTTTCAACTTAACAAAACATTTAAACTTGCTAATAGAGAGAGCCTGTACACTTTCCGGGACGTTGTTGTAATAGCGTATACATTGCCCCAAGAATGAATTACTGACTCTGTGGAGTCGAGAATCTGGTATCACTAGCTTGTGTTTGTTCCTAGTGTTTACAGAATGTATATCACTTTTTTTACTAAAACTACCTTTGTTTTTGTCAACATACATAAAATTTTCGTAAATATACTGAGAGGCCAAAGTTAATATATTTATTTCTTTAAATTTATCTCTAAGATACTCTCTCGGTTTTAGGTTGTAAATATCTCTAATGGCCCTCTTCTGTAAAACAAAAATAGTTTCTGAATCAGTCTCATTTCCCCATAGCAAAATCCCATAAGACATTATGCTATGGAAGTAACTGAAATAAACTAATCTAGCTGTCTCGACACTAATGAGACCTCTAATCTTTTTTACAGCATAGGCTGCAGAACTTGGTACCAATTATGTGTGCCAAGTTACCATACGAATTTGGTAGACACCCGTGCCAAAAACTAGCAGACTAATGATGACGATTAGGATGATAATACAAGAATAAAATAAAAAAGTCAGTTGAAAGATTTCGTATAATTGCATTTTGATTATCTTTTTTCCCTCTATACCATTAATTCCGTATATTTTAATGCCGAAAAATGTTGCATGTCCGTACATATTTAACTTAAAAATTACAAAGCATTTTAATGTGTTATTTGAACAGATATTATATACATATGTATATTTTACACTAATCTCGACTTATATTGCACGCCTTATAACGAGGAGCGTTATTGGGTAACGCATTACTATCGACACGTCAATGTCATGCAATTTTGTATTCTTATAATTTAAATTTAAAAATTTTGTGCAACCGACTTCAATATAAATTATTAAGAAGTTATGAGGTAACACATAAAAACACATAAAAAAAAAGAAAAAAGAACATACAGTCGAATTCAGTACTGTCTCTGTTCTGAAGTCGGTAGAAAATGCTTCTGTCTTATCCACATGGCACTTATACAATAATATGAGTAGGCGTATATCAAGAAAACGAATTTTCCATTTTATATTTTCTAAAAAATCATTTTATAGCAATATATATTTTTTATAGAATAAGAGTGACAAGCGAGCACACAGTCCACCTGATGGTAAGTGGAAGCGCTGCTCCATTTATCATCAATTAAGAATCAAAATCCAGATGGGTTGTCACCCTTGAGGACTGAGATGGAATGTCTCGTTTCCAGTAAAAAGGGTCTCCGGTTCTCTACACTCGCCATACGAAACACAGCAGCATTAAGCTGGTATTTTAAGCTGGTACTTTGTGAGAGCGTGGTCCTACCGCGGTCGAGCCGACCCATTCGTGCTGCTACCACAATATAACTGCAGTATGGCTCTACAACGTAAAAAATATAATTTAATGGCAATAATATATAGAAATAAATTTACGTGGATGTCCGGATGTTGATTTTGTATGTGGTCACGATAACTCTTGAAGAAATTGACGTATCGAGACCGGGTTTTTTTACTAGCTCTTATTTTTTTAGCCCTTGAAATATAGCCTACATCGATTTTATACTTTGTGTAATCGATTTATTTTGGTGAACATTATTTTTTCCCCTGTAGGCAACATTACCTGCTAGTAATAATATAGCGCCAAATTTAAAACACGTAAATAATATACATATTTTAAAAGTCAGGAATACAATTTTTTTTTTTCATCAAAATTAAATGAAACGCTTTTGAGGCGTGCACTTTTGGATTTTCCAAACTATTTAATGATTTATTTTAGAAAAACAAAGTCGTAGGAACATCGATGTTTTAAATAATACAGTTGTAATGATAAAATCGATAAAGTTAATATGAGATTAATGAGTTTAGTGCTTGTATAATTGTAATAAGGGTCATGGTAAACTTATTGGAGAACAAAGTTACAACAACTCTATGTAAAGATATTTGTATCATTGATAATAAAGTTGATTTTGCATTGAAAGGGTGCCTGATCTTTTGCGTAATGTTTTTCTCAAGACGACGCGTCGCAAGCGTAAGAGTTCAATGCACTTTCTTGTTTACTTGTTGAATTCCGTTAAGCTGATATTACATGGATCAATTTCGGTTCAATACTGCTTTCAATTTTATTACTTCAATGACATTGAGACATCTAAATACATTTCAACGCGATTGGACAATCTCATTGAAAGCTTGAATTCACCGAACGCTTTCAATGCAATGGTAGCAATATTGGTCATTGTTCAATGCGGTTGAAAAGTGTACATACATGAAGATTGAACGATGACTCATTCCGCGCACCGCACGACACTTATTTCACGTGCGCACAGGGATTTTCGAAAATACTAATAATGCTATAATAATACACTCACGCATGTTTTTTTTTTTAATTATGCAACTCATTTATTAAATAGTAGCAGTATATCGAAATTCCCGCACGTACGTGTTAGGCGACATCTCTTTGCGCTGTGAACATTGAACATCATTTAAATGATTTACTTGTACCTATATTGGTAAAGCCGTTCAATGTGCAATGTTCAATGTTTTTCAATGGCATTGTTTCAATTTGGTTGATCCGTGTAATATCGGCTTTAGTTATCACCATCGATCACTAATAACTTAGTGATCGATGGTTATAGCAACGTTTGGTGAACGTTGTACAGGAGACCTAACAGTATTCTGGACTAAATATTAATTAAAAAAGGCCCTTAGAATTAATTACACGATTACTTTTTAAAAGCTTCTAATTTTGCTTTTTACCGAATGCTGGTTTTTATTATAAAATAGAAGTGACAAAAGTACACAGAAATTTGTGGCTAAATAATTGTTAAATTAAATAACAAAAAAAATGTTTGCCCATTTTTCATTCCATAAAAAATAAATAACTTTGTGTTTGAAGTTATTGCTATTAAATTATATAAGACACTCCGAATAAAAAGATAATATATGTTAAAAGTAAATAGATTCAATATATAATGTCGAACGAAAGTTCGGGGTTCGATTCCCTGGTCGAGAGTTAATTCCATGAGTCGTTTACAGACATAGCAATCGGCTATGCAATACGAATAAGGGTTTTATATTAAACTAGGTACTTATTTTAGATGAAAATATATTTTCCTCTTGTGATAAGAGATAAGATTCATTGTGGCTAGATAAGAATAGCATATGTAAACAAATAATATTTCATAATGAACAGAGATAGTTGTAATTTAGACAAAGAAAGCACTAGCCTCCTACGGATATGATAGGGGTCGTGCAGGGATTGGTTGCTCATGTTGTGTGGGATCTAAACCATGTCAAAATAATGTACCATAAAAATAAAAATAAAATACTTTATTAATTTGTGAAATCTTCAGTAACATATGTAGAAATATGTAATAACTGTTTCATGATTACTACATATGTAGTTACACATGTGTTAATAAGAACAGTGCTGTGTTAAAAGTGTCTAAATTTGTGCTTAAAATAGTGAAATAATAATAGATTTATATAAGAAAATTAAAGTTAAATTAAAGTGTAAATTGTCTTTAAATTGTAAATTAAAGTATTTTATTAGTTAAGATATTCATGTTTATTAATAA